AAAAACTCCCCAGATCTTCCAACAGTCACTTAGGACTGAGGACTGAGGACTGCAAAGCACACTCAGTACCCAAGCTCTTTCTTGAACTCTGTCAGGATCTGGACTGTGGTCTTATCTTCATCTGCCATAGAAAAGAAGAGACGCTCATTCTTCTCAGACCATTCCATCCGTGGAACATAGGTGTAGAACATGCGTCTGCGTACCGCCCACAACTCACCACCATGCTCAGTTGTGGGTTTGCGGCGCCCAGCAAATGTCTCCTTGGTTGGCCATGGCACACCCACGTTCTTGTTGAGCACGACATCCATTGCAGCTTGGTCTGACTTGGTCGGACTGGGCTTGATGGACTGGGGACTGCAGGACTGTTCACCATGCTCCTTGTCCTGGTCCATGGGCTTGATGGACTGGGGACTGCAGGACTGTTCACCATGCTCCTTGTCCTGGTCCATGGCATTCACCATCATGTCAACATCCTGGTCTTCCGTAGGCTCACTCTTGACTGTCTGCGTGGACTGCTCTGGCTCAGGGCGCGCATCCCGCATCTCCTTGGCGATTGCCGAATTGTAGTTGATCTCCATGACCTCGGCAATGAAGTCGGCCTGGCTGACACTGTGCTCCTGCAGTCAGTGAATCGACAACTTGTGGGGTGTTGAGGTTACAATTGCAACAAAGTACTGTCCTCCTCGCATACTGGCTTTGATGCAGCAGACGGCTTTTTCATGGCAGCTGCAGGCCGCTTCATGACAGCTCCAGGCTTCTTCATGCAAGCCTTCGCCTTACCTTTGGGCCAGCCGCCTTTCTTCTTGGGCTGCTGGACTGTCTCTGATGCAGGGGGAGGGTCAGCCCCAGGCTGGGCTTGGNNCTTGGCCTTTGCTGTCCTCTGGGCTTTGGTGTGGACCAAATGGAGTGGTGGGAGCGGGGATGTGCCACCGGGACTGGAGACTGCAAGACTGCCTTGCTCACCGACTGCTAAACCGGCCTTGTCTGCAGCAATCTGCTCTTTAGCTGTGAGGTTGCCAAACAAGACACGGGGTTTGACAGGTGATACCTTCTCACCTGTCGGTGGGTCGATGGCTTTGGCTGGATTCACACCTGGGGTAATATTCTCAACACCAGGAGTAAGCATTTCAAGGTCTCCCTCTCCATCCTGGGGCCACTCAACAGCATCAGCTTCATCGGACTCATGGCCCAATGACAAAGATGCCATGAACCCACCGAACATCGTGCCGACACAGTGGGTAGGAGTGAGGACTGCAGGCCTGGACTACACCCTCACCTTCTTTTGATCAAAGCCAGAAAGCACTCAGCACTTCAATGAAGCAAACAACTTCAAGGCAGTTCGCATGCATGCACAACACACAGACACATGGAACGGTGCACTGCTCACTCCAGAGTCATTTTCTGCACGCACACGCACAGTCACACAGAAGCCGAACAGATTAAATCAGGAACCTGCCCATGGATCCTCCTCTGAAAGTTCATTGGGCAAAGACAGTGCTTGACCGGAAGATCTAGCGCTGGGCTTCTTAGCGCTGGGCTTCTTCTTGGCTTTCATGGTGCACGACTTCTTGGTCTTTGCTTTGGACTTTGCTTTGGGCTTGGCTTTCATTGCAGTCGACTTCTGGACTTTGGCTTTCGACCGGGCCACCTGCTCCTTCGAAGGACCAGAAACAGAAGTTGTGCAATCTCCCCAAGGATCATCTTCCACCTCAAAAAGGGCATCAGGGCTCATGCGGACAGGACTGTCATCTGGCTTGCCATGAACAGCAGGACTGTGGACTGCATCACTCCCATGTGATTCAGTGCTTGGCAAAGGATGCTCTCTCTCCAGCAGACTGGGCTTTGCATCCGGAGCAAAACGGACCAACCAAGCAAGCACAATCGACTCACCCAGTGCTGGAGGGTAAAGACCACTTGCCTTCAGTTCCTGGTTGCCCGTCTTCTTAACCTTTCCATCCACACCCGTTGATGAATCCATCAAAGGCAGATGTTCCTGTATACAGGTGCAAGCACTGTGAACAGCTTTCTTGAACCAGCAAGGACTGAGGACTGCATGACTGGGGTGCAAGCACATGAACTTGTACCTTTTGCCATATGTAGGTCTCTCAGTTACAAAGGCACAGCGATCAACCAGAAAGAACTGAGGATGGAGAATTGAATCCAGTGCCAAGATGTGAGGCTTCAGGAATGAAAACAGTGTGGATCCCACAGGATTTTCCAGGCAAACATATACACCTCGTGCTGCTGCAAGACAGAACAGGAAGAATGCCACCTCGGCCATGAAATTCCCATTCCTCACTGTGGGATTGCTTGTATCTCCTGCAAAGTTCTGCTTGGTACGCTTCGTCTTGCTTGAGCATGCCCAAGAAAAGCTGGAACAATCAGGGGCAATGCACATCAGGCCGGCTTCCCGTACACGCATAACCAGCCGAATTGCCTGATGAAAACCAGCCTCTGACAGAATGTCCCCTTGCCCCGGGTTCATGTAGTCGAAACTCATTGCAGAAAGTTCTCGTGCCTCTGCTGCCCGGACCAGTGTCTTAGACAGACTGAATACTTCCAAAACATGAAGATCACGAGGGCCCTGGCAAAATACATCGGACTGGAGGATTGCATCGATTGACAATCCGAAGATCAGCAGCTGACATGTCCTCGCAATGTTGTTGGTGCCCTGCATGCTGGCCACACTGCTGCAATCAACAGGGGACTGAAGACTGCTGGATTGCTTGACAATCTGAGCCTTTTAATTCGGAGTGTCATATCCGATGCTGACATGTAACAACAACTGAATCTGCTAACTGCTGAACTGCTCTATGCTCCAACTTTTTTTGAATGCTCAATGGCAAAGCCTCGACCCATCTTCAACTGTGCAACCGACATGTAACTGCAATCCTTGGAATCAAAAGTCTTCAAAACAGCAAGACTGTAGGACTGCAAGACTGTTGGACTGCAGGACTGCAAGACTGTCGGTTCACTGGTGCATCTTGGCCATCAGTCGCCAGCAGGACTGTGGCAAGTATGGCAACTGTGCAAAGCCTTCTGGCTCTGGACAGAAAACTCTGCGTGCTTGTCTCAGAAACTCCAAAGGATGCACATCATAGCGCCTCACAAGAACGAGCTCTTGCAAAGCCTTGGCAGCTTTTGCCATGCCATACTTCTCTGCCAGTTCTGCCAATCTGGAGAAGGTGTCAATCTGACTGGCAGACAGCTCAACTGCAGAGTGAACACCCCTCGGGATTGCCGGGTGGACTGCAGTAATCTGGGCCATGCTGGCAACCTTGAAGGGGGGCTGGCTGAGGTTCAAGTCACGAGAGTACATTTTGACACACACATAGACTGCTGTCCCATCCAAACTCTCTTCCATCAGCTGCCTGTGCTTCAAAGACATTGTATCACCAGTGATCATGGTGAAACAGTGAGGGACTTCTGGGAGGTTGCCTGCCTGTGCAAGGGGATGCTTCGGACCTCTCTGTCTCAGTGCATTGTACAACGTTACACCCATGGGCTGGAGCCAACTGTCGAAATCCCGAACTGCTGTCACATGTCTGGCAGAAATTGTTCCTGGTCGTTGGGCATGAGAACTGGCCTCCAAGCCTCAGTTGCATGGGGTTCTACTTTTTCAAGGCAATGCAGTGACCGAGTAAACAGGCAGTACCAAAACAAGGTTCTATTGCGCAGCAAGCAGCAGGACTTGATGTGTTGCAAAACCTCATCCGGAGTTTCCCAGGTTGCTTTCTTCTTCAGGTATGAGTACACAACTGCAAAAAGCTGGTCCAGGTCTTCATGTGTATGGCCAACCATGAGCTGAAACAGAGTCACTGACTTGAAGATTTTACGGCCCACCAGGTAACACAGAAATCGCAGCACGAACTGGTTTTTTGCCGACTTTGTGGTGTTGTCAGCAACTAGCACCAAATGAGACGGCCAGGACTGAGGACTGCAAGACTGCCAAACCTGCTCCAAGGTCTGACACAGGACCTCCAAAAAATAGTCCGACCCCCCCACAACTTGTGGGCCGGCCATATAGAGGTACGTGCCCCATCCATGTGCATATGCGCCTGTGAATGTGACTGTTGGTCGTATCAATCCATCCAACTCATGCGGCTGTTTGCGAAACTCCCAGCGTGGCCATGCAAACTTGCTGTGGTCCATGTCATCGATGATGACAGTGAGAACTGTTCCTGACTGCAAGGGCTGCTTGGATGGCTGTGAGGACTGAGGACTGCAAGACTGTGCCTGGATGGTCGAAGCCCATCTCAGAGACCAATACAGGAGACGATCCTCGTATTGATCCTTTTGATGCTGCCGCAACAATTTTGCGACCTCCATCTTGCGACTCCATGAAACTTTGGGGTTACGCAACATCATCTGCAGGTCAAAGCATCGCTGGCACTGCTTGTGCTGACTCTTTTCTCGCATGCGAAGCATGTTGCTCCAGTGGGAATTCCACCTGCGTCGAAAAGTATCATAAGAGGGTATCTCTGCACCGTAGTGTGGGTGCAGCTCAGACAGGGCAGACCATTCAGCTTGAAATTGCCAGTACAGATCAGTTATCTGGCACTTCTGAATGTAGCGCCGCTGCAAACCACCATAGACTGCAAGACTGGAGACTGTGAGTGGTGTGCACACATGGCCATAGAGAGTGTCCTGCCATCAAAGAACTGAATCTGAAACTAAGTATCAACAAGGGGTCCTACATATTAAGGAACCACCTCTCACAATATAATAAATAATAATAGTAATAATAAAATAATAACTTTGAACATGAGTCCTGGTCCCATGGATCCTCCACTGCTGCTTCATCATCTTCCGGCATACATTCTGCAACGGATTGATGCAGCTCCCTGAAGAAATGATCACACTTCAACGTAGCATTGGCTTCGCGCTGTTGACTGCCCCACGGGGCCCCACCACCCACACCTTTCTTTCGCATGTCTGGTTGTCCAGCTATGTATTTTCTCATTGTGTTCTGGCTGCATCCTAGCTTCTTGCAAAAATTGCAGAAGCAAACGCGTGAGGATCCAATGTAGTACTCCCTGCACTTGCCAGTCCCATCACCATAGGTGACCTGAAGTAGATGAACCCTCTCCTCTGAAGTGATACTCCAGAAGTCATGGCACAAGTCTTGCAAAGCCTTCAAGTGCAGTGCCCGTGGTGCACAACCTTCAAGTTGGCAATTACCACGTGGACATTTCTGAGCCCATCGATAGCGAATCTTGTCTGGGTGCATTGCAGAAACCTCATAGGAAGTGGAATGAGTCTTCAAAGTGGACTCTGCCAGTAAGCGACTGCCTGTATCTATCGACACACGTTGCTTCCTCTGAGGACTGGGGACTGAGGACTGCAAAGACTCCCCAACCTCATCACACCATGGGTCTTGCTGGACTGAGGACTGAGGACTGCAAGTCTCAGCCCATGGGTTGTCTTCTAGCACATATTTCCAGGGATCTTCGGATTGCTCAGCGATGGGATTCTCAGCAGCAGCACCAGATGCATTCCAGGGATCAACATCAGCCGGAACATCATGCTCAATCACTCTCTGTTTCTTGGCAGGCTTGTTTTTGGGCCGCCTGACTCTAAGCTTGGGCATAAATAATGCTACACACAGTATGAGCTTGTATTGCCATGGAGCAATGGACAGCAGCATCGGATGTAGCTCAACTTTCTCCACACTTGTGAGCTGCAGGACTGCAGGACTGCAGGACTGCTCGAATTAAGAATTAAAGTTGCCGGCTCTACTTTGAATTAGTAGCAGCTTCTGCTGTCTTGTCTTTCATACGCTGCAGCTTCCGGGCTTTTCGAAAAGCCCTTAAATCTTGGGCTGCGCATTTCCTCTCCTGCCTGACTTCTTTACGCGCAAGAACCAAAGGATGCTGCTTCCACAATGAGGCACAGTACTTCAACGAAAAACCCCTAGCCCTTTGGATGGAATAGAATTTGTTTTGTTGCTCCTTAGGAGACAGACCAGCCATCACAGCATCACACAGATCATCAGATGCAGCTATAACTTCGTTGGAACTGCGTTTGCATCGTGCCAGCCTTTTCTTGGCTTTGCTATCAAGGCTGCAATCCAATTTGCACTGGGGCCCCACTTTGCAAGTGGGCTTGGCAATCGCACTGTGTGCATCCTGTACACAAACTCGATCACAGAACGAGGCTTTGGGGGTCTGTTTTCCGATCATGTGCGGCGGTGTCACATCTGTCAGGATCTGCATCATTCCACCGAACATTACCTTGGCTGGGCATGTGAGAACGTGCTTTGGCATGGGGCACAAAGTTGTTTCAGGATTGGTTTGCCGGCCACTGACAACATCAGGGTCAGGCCTCAGATCCCGAAGTGCTCGAGGCGGGAACCCCGCCTCGAGCGCTTCGGGGATCTAGGCCTAGATCCCCGA